GTGTGCCCGAGTGGGTTAAAGATGTCCCCCCCCCCGAAAAGAACGAAGGACTCTCCAAGCAAATAAGAAGTGCCCAAAAATCACACCAGTCAGGCTGCTTTGTTCATCAACTGTCACGCGTGACGTATGTACACAACAAATATCGACCTGGCACGCTGTGACGTCCACAGGTCACATTTTATTATGCCCCGTGAAAAGCTGAGAGAGACTTTCTGATCCAACATTCTCCATGCTTGCATCGTTTTTAAAGATCAGAGCGGTCGGAATTTTTCTGATCGAAGGGTTTTGCGTTTAATTTAACGACGGATAAGGCAATGGGCCTGAAACTGTTTATTCAAAAACATTTTTGAATTTATCCTCTGCAGCAGATTTCTTTTGATCGAGCAATCTGTACCATTCGGCTCGGTACAACATTTGATTTCTGGAAATGCGTCACTTAAGCTTGCTTGCATAAGGTTGTCACGTAACCTGACATGATCTGAACTCCAGTTCCGTCCTTTTTACTTTTTTGACCCTTAAATTTTAATCAAATTGACATTCAACCAAAAAATGGTTCATATCAATTTCAGCACGTTAGATTGCCCTGCTTACTAATGATCACGCATTATATGCTCAGCACACAACAAATATAGATGTGGGATGCGTTGACATCTAGAGGTCATAGTGATGCCCCGTACCAGTTCCGTGAAAATCAAACAGGTCGTCCAGCTTTGCCGAACGTGAATATCGAATTGCTCCCGACGTTACGCGCGTCACGGCCTGTTACATTGTCTTCCGCATATCACACCATTTAACATTGAGGTACTGACAGTAATGGCTTTGTCGGATCTCTCGGAAACTTTATAGCCGGACGGTTTTTACTTATCAAGACTATGAGACTGGTTTTTGGCCGAACTTTTGCAGTCATTTCAAAAACTAATAATGCGAAGGATGTCTACCGTTTTAGAGCTTATGGGCTTTGGCTTTTATTGGAATGGCCGTTTTTCCGTTGCGCTATCGTTAGTTAATAGGATGATTAATATTTCAGCTGTTTTGGATTACCCGCGAACTAGATAATGTCCGGGTTCCGAATAGAGCCATTTTACTCCGTGATGAACGAATCTTTCATCGTGGCCGAATGGTTAAGATACTGAATGTATGCATACCAAATCCGCGGTTTGAATCCTTATGATGACATTTTTTAGTGGCTCCTCAGCCTCTCAGGGCTGGCTAGCTGGGTCAGCTAGCCGCCTCACTGTGGCTTACCCATCTATTGAAGGCTAGCCGAATGGTGCGAACACCAGCCAATCGAACATTGACGTCAACCACTGACGGCTGGCCGGCTAGCTAGTCTGGCCGGAATGGCTTCTTTCTTCTCCATCGTTTTCCAGGTGGAATCATATCACGCACCGCATACCAAAATGCGGTATCCGGGTGGTTGATCAGCTCGGTATATCTGGTCAATTGAAAGCTGCGATGTGAGCGTTACATGGCTGCACGACCAGCCGGCACGGTCGTCATGCCAACCGGCGTGCTTGAAGCGGCACCCACGGCCCACTCCGGGGGTGATCGTCGGCAACTGCAGACGCGTCAAGCTTGGCAACGTTCGTTACCGTGAGCCGCGAAGAACTCGCCGATGGAGATGGACGCCGTGGTGGTGGCGATCGGCCTGCTCATGATCATCAGCTCAGGTGTGCCCGTGTTGGTTATCGTCACCAGCCGCTCGCTGCGGGACCGACCCATGTTCCAGCTGATCGCGCACATGGCCGGCGCCGGCGTGCTGCTGGGCCTGCTGACGGTGCTGCTGGTCGGGCTGCGGCTGCTGGGTGC